GGATTTTTAGGATTGTCTCAGAAAGCATATATTGAAAGAGTTCTAGAAAGATTTAGTATGGAACATTATTCAACCGGTATTGTTCCATACATAAAAGGAGATAAATTTAGCCTAGTGCAATCCTAATGAATAAGTTAGTTAGAAGGTAAAGAAATGAAAAATATTCCTTAAGCATATATTGTGGAGTTTGATGTATATACAAGTTGGTAAGGGATAAAAGATTATATGCTCACACTTAGGAAGACATTTTTATGAATATGTGGATAATTATTAATTCACAATTAGTTATTTGTTCCTTTTGGCTAGAGAAACAATATTATAAAAAAGTGTAAAGTAATTTATTATTACTTTGTCTATTATGAATTTTTAATTTGTAGCATGCTTTGAGCCTACAATTTATGATTGCATAATTTATTTAAGGACTTGGAGTTATGGGTACCATTTTCAGATTGCTGAAAATTTATGCTGCAATTGTTGATCTTCTTGTATGAAAAATAAGAGGTATTTTAAAGTTGAAATACTTTATCATTAAAGAAGATATTTAAAAACAACGAGTATCTATTTAACATATAAGCACGCAACTTATGATTGCAATCCATTAACGAATGGACTACCACTAAGATATTTATGGAATATATTGGAAGAATAGGTTTTGAATATAGTCAATGATAATTATTATTTTTAATTGATTGATTTTCAATGCTTATATATATTTGATATTTTGATCTCGTTAAATGTGTTTATGATATTTCCTGTTAATTTATTTTGAATGAATGATAACAGGAATAGTCTTGGAAAAGACATTATTGTTAGACTATTATCGATATTTCTCATTTATAGACTATGTTAAATAAGTTACTAGTGTTGTTGTACATGAAAGGGACTATGTCATTTAATGATATATAACCGCCATGACTTGCATTGGTAATTTATTTACCATGGTATTTATGATGACCAACTTAATGAGTCAATCTGTTTTATAGTGCACATTAATAACTATTTTACTAAACTACTACAGAAGTTATCATATGAGCCAAGTAGGAGACTGTAAGATACTTTCTTATATTTGTGGCCCACATGATTTGGACACGTGATTTACTTCTATTATTTGGTGGTTAAATAAAATAGATATCAGATTAATATTATATTATTTGGTCAACTTATAAATTATCTTTTTGGTAATTAATTATTGGAGAAGTGTTTTCTTATTTATTCGTTATTTTGATGGAAAATAGAATTAAAGTTACTAAAAGGAAAACTGGTCCTCTCATTACTTTTATAAAAGTGCATATTCCTATCAGTAATGTACGCTAATGAAAATGACTGATGGGAAACAATGTCAAATTTCAGGTTGGGGATGGTTTACAGTTCAAGATGTTGACAGATCCTTGGTTTCAAGATCAGTCCTTAATTCAGCTGTTTGGAGTAAATATATTCAGAGGTTTTGATAAATAGGTTAGTTTGTCTGTGTTAATTCATCAAGGGAATTGGAACTTACCTGCAATTTTTTCTAATAACATGAAGAATGCTGTTCAACAGACTGGTATTCATCCAGGAAGCGACCAAATTCAGTGGAAACATGGGAACTTCTCACTAAAGGCAGCTTGGAAGATATGTCGAGCTACTGGGAATAGGTGTAAATGGATTAGATTTTGTTGGAAAAAATGTAGACCGCGGATTAGTATTTGTGTTGTCATTATTCTTCAGAACAAAAATCTATCTTTTGTGAATTTATAGAAAAGAGGCTGCAAGTTACTTCAATCTGTCACAATTGTTTTGCTGGGGATGATTCCAATGAGCTTTTATTTTGTCATTGTGATTTTGCTTCAGAGATTTGGTGAGGGATTTTTGATATGTTACACATTCAAGATCAAAGGTTTACAAGTCTGAATCACATTGTTGACTGGTTTTTGCAGAATACCGTGTCCAAGTCTTTTAAATCCAAGATCTTAAATGGTATTTTTCCAGTTACCATTTGGAAGATATGGTCCAATAGGAATACTATGCTACATACAGGAATATAGAAACAGAGCTCTCATGTGGTGCAGGCTATTATTTAGGATGTAATCACATTTCTAAATATTAGTTTAGCTGATCTTTTGATTGTTTTTGACTTATAATGTTTTTTTATTTTGAGATAGGTTGTTTGCTGGAATTGGAATGTCAATTCCTTTTTCAGAGTTAGGAGTTCAGTCTCCTATTGTAATTATATTCTTTTGAATATTTATAAAACAAAAAAATACCCCATTCAGGAAAAAAAGAAAACAATACGTATAATGTTTGTGTGTGCAAAAGGCCAAGAGAGAGAAATCAGTTTTCATCATTTGCCTATTGTTCAGAGTTGCGGCTTAGTTCATTGTTAAAGGATCTCGACATTGGACTTGATCTCAACAAGGTTTGCTATCATGGACCGAGGTATTTATATCTAACTATATTTATTTATGCATTATAAACTATGTGAAAAAAATAAAGTTTTAAGATCTTGTGATTAATGGTTTGCACGAATAATTGCAGCTTACACTCTTTCCTCTCTTTGGGATCGAACATCAATTGCAATGATTTGATAGATGGCTCATTGGGATAGATGTAGATGAACAATACCCCCTTAGAAACGTATAGGAAGTTTTCTCCTCATACGGCTCAAGAAAAAATGATTCGAAGTGATTTCGATGTATCGAATTATAATATAGAATTCTAATGACAAATGGATCCATAAAATCATCAAATCAATTAGGCTATGATTTAAGCCTTTTTTTTTCTTCTTCTCTTCCTTATTGAAAAAGAAAAAAATCGTTTGTACTCATAACTCAAGTTGAATAACTCCCCAATAGCTCAAAGAAAAATCTTTAGGCATTTATTTCATTTATTGAGTGGTCTCTAACCCCCTTTTTTGTTTGTCTCATTTAAATACAATTTAAATTCTTCATTCTGATCCAGTTATTGAGACAACTCAAACGGTGTTTCCGTGTTCTGGGGATCCTTTATCTTTGTTTTGAATTATTAGGTTTAGACATTACTTCGGCGATCCTTAATCCTTTCAAAATGGCAGCAGCATACCCTTTTTGTGATTTCTTTATATCAAAGAATCATATGAACGGTGGATTCCCGAGCGATTCCTTGGATCGAAAGAGTTTTATCAATTCCAACAATTTTTCCTTTTTGGGCGGAAACTTGCTGGAATTGGATTCTTTCGATTTCGATTTCTATATCGAAGATATACTTACGAAGTTGTTCAAAGTTATTGATTAGCATTACCCCTAGATCCCTGCCCCCAAGAAATGAATCAATACTTTCTGCTCAAGCTCCACCGTGTACTATTTACATTACAACCCAACAAAAAGGAGGGGTTCTAGTGGAACAGAACAAACAATGTCGAGCCAAGAGCACCTTAATTCGTTCCTATATAAAATGATAGATGTAAGAATCCACAACGGAAGTCGCACGTTGCTTTCTATCACATTGTTTCAAACGAAGTTTTACCATAACATTCCTTTAAGTTGGAACCTGTATGGAAATGATTCAATATTCAATTATGGAATCATGAATAGTCGTTGGTTCAGTCGGTCCATATTAATCTAGATTTTTCTCTTCTACATAGATGCATAGATATTTTTTTGAAGGAATCTCAACAAAAATGCAACTTAACTCCATATTTTATTGTATGAATACAACATTTTTTTATAAAAAAAAAAACATAAATAAGACGAAAAAAGAAGTTTTTTTAATTTGCATCTTCAAGTGACTGAACATGATAGATTTATCAATCTTACGCTTTTTCAAGTACCAAAGATTCAACTCCTCCGGAATCATTAAAAATGGTTTTAAAATAGTTATAATTGAAAAAGTTTCCCACTTTGACACATTATTTGAATCCAATTTTACAGTAAGGACTGCATTTGCTCACCACAAGATAGAAAAATTTCTATTTCATTTCGAATTGAATCATCAATGATTTCAAGCGCGGATAGATAGATTAAACAAAAAATTCAATTTCTTTTTTTTGAGATGGATAAAAAAGACTTATGTAAGGGAAGATTTAAGTCCTTATTCTTCATCTGAGTGATAAAATCAGAATCGAACGAATAAGGGGTTTCATATCTATCAAATAGACTGAACAATTGTCACTAATTTTTTTCATAAAAACTAAAAGGCCGTTGTCACTGAAATAGAACGATAACAATACATATAAGCTGAACATTTCCTCATTTTATATGCATTTTTATATTTTGTTTGACTTGAAGTGTAGTAGTAGTAATCTTTCTGTAATCTTGGCATAAAATAAAGTGAATAAAATGGCTGAATCGGCCCGGTTTACATTTATTCATTATCTATTTACAATTATTAATTATAGCAAAAAAAGAAATACCTAAAAACTGGGTTCAAAGAAAATCCCCCAAACGCCTCACCTGGATCCGGTGTCATGCCAAAGAAAATCCCCCAAACGCCTCACCTGGATCCGGTGTCATGCCAAACGCCCCGCCTAGGCATCCGGGTAGGCATGGTGGCCAGACCCGGATGCGACCCGGATGCGTCCAGGTGTGTCATCCGAGTAGGCGGGATGGCCTGGCCTACCACGCCAAGCACCCCGCCTGGAGGTTTCTGAGTGTGCCATCCGGGTAGGCGAAGACGAGTTTGAGTTGAGTGTTAGTCTCACCTAACAACTTAAATTTTTTTGGTCGGATCGTGAAACACCCGCCTGTTATAACTAATTACAAGAATTATTTGTACAACATATGGCCAAGGCATTAATTTTCTGAATTTTCAAATTAAACTTTTAATACTACCTAGAATTTTCCTTTAAACATATCATATTTTGCTATAATAAACATTACTTAATTTATTTGAGTTGATTTTATTATTATTATTATTTATTTATTTATTTATTTGCAATAATTTATTTGAGTTCTGTAGTGTGACTGTTTTATTTAGGTGGAGCCCACCGACTAGAATATTAGAATCCAAACCGTCTAACGCGCGAATCCCATCACCAACTGCCCTAACAAATCCTTCTCATCTGCATCTGCATCTGCTACTTCCTTCTTAAACCCCAAGTCACACCATCACAAAAGGCAGAAAAAAACCCTAATTTTATTCACCTTCTTCTCCAATATTCCATCCATTCACCAAAACTCTAAAAACACTGAAATCCTTTAATTCTTTGTTAACTAATAAGCTTCCCTCTTTCTTCAAAACAAGATTCATTGATCCAAAACCCTAACTCGGACAAATGTCCTTGAAACACAACCGGGTCGTCCAGTCATCGAGTGCCGGAGAAATGGGGCAGCTCAACCAGGTCCAGCCCATCCAGTCTCCGGTAACTCTTGGGGAAAAGAAACGCGCCACTGCTGCTCAAATTGACGCTGTAAAGCCGGTCAAGAACTCTGAGGTGTCGGTCACATTGCTGGAAGAGCCTTACCGGAGTATTCTGACATTGGGATCACCTGTTTGTGAGAAGAAAATTGATGGGTCTGAGGACAAAATTGACGACCGATTTGGGAGGTTTCTTGGAGCTTGTTTTCATTGCAAGAAGAAACTGGCTTTGGACAAGGATGTGTTCATGTATGGGTATGTAATTCTTGTTTCACAGTTCTTTTTTTCCTCTTTCCCATTATATACTTTGTTTGGTTGATTAGAAAACTCTCTGTAATAAACATTGAATCTTAATTTTTATTTTCTTTTCCTCTAGAATTACAGATGTGACTTCTTAATACCATTTCCCGGATCTTTGATATATATACACAGCACACTCCCTGCTTTTGTGTGGTGTCTGAACTCTCTTCTGTCTGCATTTTGTGACCCTCCGAATTTAATTGACATTTATTCTTTACATTTTCATGACCACTTAGTTCAATTCATAATTGATCATAATTTTTTGTACCCTGAATAAAATAATTTGGTATGTAAGAATTTAGATAATGTACATTGTAACAGAGAGAAGACACTTAAGACGAGCTATATCTTGTCGATTCGCTGAAGCATAGTTGAAGAATTACATTGTATCAACTATTTTACTTCAATAACAGTTATTTTTCCTTGTTTCTGATTCATTATTTTTCTCTTCTGTGATCGTCTTAACAAAAATGAAAGGTATTTGCATGATTTCATGCCCATCATACACCACCACTCTGAGTCTATTTATGTCATCAATTCTTCTTCAATTTCACAATGCTTACAACAATGGTTTTTGCTGTCTCTGTTATACATTTTCTATTCATTTGCTTGAGAGGAATAATCAGTGTTTGCTTGTTTTCCATTTTTTTCCTCTCTCTTTTCTGAAAGGAAGAAAACAAGTCAATTATTGTTGGATTTCTGTGCAAGCTCAGTAGATGACAAATTTTTTTTTCTTTTTTTTTCTTTTACAAGTTAATTGATAAAGGGACATTCTATATACATCTTGGAAAGTGGATTTATAAGTTGCTATTTTTTATTTCTTATTTGGGGCTTGTTTTGGGCTTCGAATACCAATGTTAGTGCAAATTGGACATTACTGACAACACATAAACTTGATGCAGTTACCTACGAGCATTTTGCACCATTGAATGCCGAGACAAACAGATTGCAGTTGATGAGAAAGATAATAAGCCGTCTCCAGTATCAACAGCAGCAGCAACTAGATTGACAGAAGCAACAACAAAGCGAGGGTTTGGATCTCAAGTCAACCGACAGGCAGTAGCCAGGTTTTAGTAGTATTGGATCAAGCATTCATAGTTCATAGCTAGGTTGACCAACCAGAGGTGCACATCTGTATGGTTTTTACAACCAGCATGCGATTTGGAATACGAAAGCTTACTACCATTAGTTTACCATAGCTAACATGTCAACAATTAATTCTTCTACAGCTTCTCTTGTTTTTAGTAAACAATCACTGATCCAGGTACTTCTAGATAATATGCATTGCTCAATTCATTATTTCCTCTATTGTTTTTACAGTGCAACGATCTTTTACCAAAATTGTGAGAAACCTTCAAAGGTTGTATCTGTGTCTTTGTGATGAAATTTTGAATATATATCAAGGAAAACATATGAACCAGCTTTGATTTTCTTAAATGTGTCTGTGCTATTTTGAGTGGTCTTCTGTTATCAACTGATGAATATCAATTGTGCCTGTTAATTTTGGCGCAGTGCAGTTTTCCTAGCATCGTGTTTCTTATGTAACTTTTCTAGTCTTCTATGGACATTTTAGGGAGTAGATTTGGCTAATAACTGATCAGTAATGGAGGAGTTCTGGTAAATTTTATGGCAATTGATTGGTATTTTGATGCACAATTGTACAAGTTGATCAAATTACATAAGATTATAATTTTAATTTTAAACAGGATACCCCATAATGTTTAATTACATAATTAGTTATATGTCTACCAGGTGGTTCTACTTCTTTCTATGTGCTTTCATGTAATAATGTGTTGTCTTTAGATATTGTATAATGTGCAGTGTTAAAAATTATTGTTTTATCTTCTAACCGTTTCATCAAAGTGTGCTAAACCTAGATTTATGCCATATGGTTCACCACTTCACACCATTCGAAATTAAAATTTTACAGCAAAAGGCACCCCAAACTTTATGTTTATTCGTTTTAATTAAACTAAAAGATTAACCTAATTCTGTTTAGAGTTTTATTTTCTTCTGTTTAGAGACACGTTTTAAATGTAAGATCTCCCTACTCTGGAAGATATTTATCTAGACCATGGAAAATTCATGGTAAGCAAGGTGGAATATGTGGCTGTTAATCGCAGCTGGTCAATCAGAGTAGGGTGTGAAACAGAGAAGCAAGGGAAAGATATACTGCTAATAGTAAAAAATGTTACATGTAAATGAAGGCCCTACATGAAACAGTTAAAAGTTTGATGGTTCAAAATCAATAAATTTCATCGGTTCTATTTCTCCAATATCCAGCTGTCAACTGTATCAATTTTATCCTCGACTATATTTCCTTTTAAGACAACAGACAAAGAGTCAATCTACCTCAATTTAATAATGAAATTACCTATTGCAGTGAACAGCACCAATATTGATTGCAATGTCAATGTTGTTTTCCATTAGGTTACTTAGAAGATTGCTGTCCAGCTTCAAAGATGGATGTTATGTTAGCCGAAACTACCATACTGTGGGAGCCTACGCTTGAGGCCAAAGCTCTTACTGCTCAGGAAACTCACACTGAATGCCTGAAATCAGTTTGGAATAAAGTGAGGGGACCCAAAGAAGATGAACTGGGATTAGTTAGCCTATGAGAGAGGAAGTGAACTCTCTTTACATTAGTCATGTACAGAATATCCCTTGTAAATAAAGGTCCCAAAGTTAACAATTCTTCATGCTTAATCTCAAGACTGATTCCTCGTGTGCTAGGAGTCTTTAGGATCAAAGGTGTTCATGAATTTGACAGTTTTAAGGCCATTTTAACATTGATGTTTGCAATTGAACCATTGATGTTCTGGACTTCAGCTTAGCCATTTCCCCTGTTTCTGCACAATTAATCAGACAGTACAAGTTCACGGCACTTAGAGCAAGTCTTGTACAGTCTATGATTTTGTAAAGAAAAGCTTACTACCCTTAGATTTCCATAGATAACATGTCAACAATTAAGTCTTGTGCAGTTTCTCTTGTTTTTAGTAAACAGACACTGATCTGGGTACTTCTAGATAATACTTCTTACTCAATTCGGTATTTTCTCTATTGTTTAACTGTGCAACCATCTTTTACCGAAACTGTGGCCAGCTTCAAGGGTTGTTTATGTCTTTCTGATGAAACTGAGAATATATATCAAGGAGAACATGTGAAACAGCCTTGACTTTCTTATATGTATTCATGCTCTTCCGTTATCAACTGTTGAATTCAAAACATTATCTTGCTTATGCAAGTGTTCTGTTCTTCTAATAGCTGATCAGTAATTGATAAAAATTTGTGGCAATTGATTGGTGTTTTGATGTACATGTTGATCAGATTACATAAAATCATGATTTTTGTTTTAAACAATATGCCCCGAAGTGTTTAATTACATAATTGGTATTGTGTTTCCATATTGAAAAGGGAGCGGTGTAACAAACTCTAATTTTATCTTCCAACCTTTTTCATGAAAGTATGTTAAACCTGGATTGTTACCATGTAGTTCGCATCATTCAAAACTAAAAAGTTAAATAGAAAGAAATCATAGCTTGTATGTTTGGTCGATCTAATTCAACTAAAATATTAATTTCATTATGTGTTCAAATGTAAATGTCCCCACTCTGGAACTCTGGAAGCAATTTATGTAGAGCATGACAAACTCACAGTGGAAAAGGTGGTGGTCAAGACTGCATCAATTTGCAGGATCTGCAATGACAACTCGACATTCCTTTTTCCTTCTATGTCATGCCTTTTTCTTCTTTTTGGATGCCTTCTCTATCTATTTATCTACATTGGCATGGGATCAACATTAATTTTATTTATTAAAATATTCATAACAAGGGCAAAAAAAAAAAAAAAAATTGAATTCAAATTGCCCTCAAGGCTTAAGTTAGGCAGTGAACTAATCATCAAAAGTAGGGAGCCAAATATTTATAGCTTAAATTTAGTGTGTGTGTGTGTGTGTGTATTTGTGTATTTATATATGTTAAAGATCATATGATTCCTGCTTTTATTATTGTTTTACTGCAAATAACAAAGTAGAAACAGACATCTCTTCAAAAGAAAAAGAAGTATCTAAATTATGAGTTCCCCATATACCAGCAAAATCTGTTCTCTGTGTTTGTGCTTTTTAGTTTGTTGTCTACCTCACAATGAAAATAAAAGAAAACAAAGTAAGATGATCATGAAAACAACTTCTTTTCAGTAAAAACCATAAGCAATTGATAGCAAAACAGATTGCAGATGCCTACTTATACACTTGAACTCCCATCTTCTTTACAGCACTATGGTATCAAGTGGAGTAACTATCACATGATCACTTCTTTTGAAAGGTGAAATATTCAGACCTTCCTGGAATATCTGACAACTACTGGAAATCCTCTATTGCTTGTCAAAATACAATTGCTCTACACGAAGGCAACGAAGGGTCATTATTCCCGGTGGTTTCTCATTTTTTAGATTTTCTTTTCTACTTCTTGTTCTTAGGATAAAAATGTTCTCTGCTCTGATTCGCTGAGGACAATTGATAAATTCGTGTCAGCCTCTCATTTGCACCCCCATTCGATTCAAATTGTAGGAAACTGTTCAGGTGATAGTTTTCTTTCTTCTCCTCTCACTTTTTTATCACCCTAACATGTTATTCTGTGTATAGGATTCAATTTCTGTTGAAATGAAACAAATTCATAGATTTGAACTGGAAAACTGATTTTGAAATGGCAATGCTTCTTTGATTATGTGTGTGCATTTAGGGAAGCATCAGGGTTGAAGGTTCTAAATGCCTCCTTCATGGTCCCTCTGTCCGGATTAGGTAATAAATGGTTCTAAAACCACAACTCTCTAGTAGTATGGGTGATCTCTAGGAAGTTCTCGTGTTGCATCCCTTTTTGTCCCTTTTTTTTTTTATTAATCTTTTTATTTACTGGAAAAATAAATAAGTGGTTCATTTATTTATTGAGTCCAGTATCATAGGTTAGTCAACTCCAACAATTTTGTTGTCTCTTCTGCTCATATTTCTGTGGTCCTTATGGGACAAAAGATGATTAAAGGTAAGTTATAAAGCAAAAGAAAAATGTGACATAACATTTCTACAAACGAGGAGTTTCTAAATTTTGGCTTCCCTCCCAATGTGCCTCTGTAAAACTGTCCTTTGCTTTTGTAGTTAGTTGGTCACCACACAGAATAAAGGTAAAGCAAACAATAGTTGATGGGGGATGATCAAAATATACTACCATCTTTTTCAGTAAAATCATTAGCAACAATACACAGAGAGAGTGAGAGAAGAAGCTTACAAATTTTCAATTATGTTTCTTTCTATCAACCCTAGTAATAAGTACACATCAGTTCTTTACTTCTGTCTACACTAAAAACAAAAAGGCAACACCCCAGATGATTATTTTGACCATTTCTCATCTTCTTGAAGTCATTGAAAAATTGCTTGCCCAAAACAAATAAAGAATCTTTGAATAAAACAATCCCTAATTACCCACTTCACAGTGTTGATTGGTTGAGTTCATCCTGCAAAACTGAAACAGATGGCTCATTATTATGATGTTAAGATGAATTTATTCTAGGTACAGAACTGAGTAGTATAATTAACTGAAAAATATAGTACCTGATCATTACGCAGGACAGCAAATGCTTGTATAGGAATTTGAGGTGACGCGATTACGTGGGAGTTTGTTAGTCAGGTAATTAGATTATTCTCCGAATTGGCAAGTTACTTGTATGCTAAAAAAATGGTTGTGAAATTCAGCAAATTCGGGCATGTGAAGTTGGGTTAGCCAGCAATATCACGAATATCTACATCTGTTCATGGAAAGTAAGAGGGACAGAATTAGGAATAAAGAACCGAAATCCATAGGCAAGACGGGAGAAAAGAAAAAGAGGACCAACCTTTTTCGGTTTGTGGGCAACGGAAGGTCTCCATCACCCTTCAAGGACGAATTTCTTCAAAGCAATTCTCACCTGCAAGAGGGGACCAAGAAGCATTAGATTGGTGATAGGTAAGATCTACTCGAGAAAAAGGAAAAGAATATGCAATTTAAGCATCATTTTCAGACACTATGCCAAGTACATATTCTGTTTTAGAGACAGCCACATTCTGAATAAGAAAAAGAGAATGAATCAACTCCTTGGGAGACACTATAGGTATCTTCTGGTCCTAAATCTATGATTGCAGAATTCACATTGTTGAGCTTGAGAACTACTCGAGCAAGATGCATATTTAGAAAGACAAAATTTTCAACCACGCAACTATGAGAAAATCACAAGTGATTGCAACATTCAGCTACATAATTTAGGAGAAACAGTTTTTAATCTAAGCAACCGCGTATAACTGTGCATTCCTTCAAGTACACAAATAAAATTAACACTCAGGAAGTGTAAACAAAACAAGTTGCAACAAGAAAATGTAAACTTGTTAATGAGTAGTATGCTGCAACCGCAGAGAGAGAGAGAGAGAGAGAGAGAGCATACTCAAATATAACTCAACAATTCGCTCCATCTTTTAAAAAAAGCAGAGTTCAGTATATCCATGTGAATAAGGAAACAGCTCCTCCGCCGCAATCCTGGAACTAGAACAACTCATGCTTCTTCTCAAGCGGCCTTGGACTAACTCAACCTCAGCCCAAAATATGCTAGAAACTGGTCTATGATCGGAGAACCTAGATTCCCCTCGGACATAAGATAATTGATGCAGGCCTCCTCCATACCACAAAATCCGGTCACACCTTCACACATGAAAATTAGCTAGATCAATGCCTTGAATTCTGAGAAGTTATAAATGGCTCCAACCCTAAATAATTAAAGGAAACATGTATATAGCTTGATTTTTTAATTTAAATGTTTTGAACTTTTTCATTTGAGTTCTGTCACAAATTTCCTCCTACCTAATGTAGGAAAAATATTCTTACCATGCAGGTGTTCGCCTTTTCCCCTTTGAGTGTATATCATCTCCTGTATATCTGTCTGAATTATGTGAATACTTGTATGTTGGTGGGAAGTATATTCTCCCTTCACTCCATCCCTCAAAAACACGACCCCTGCTTTTTTCTATCCGCAGCTGCCAAAAAAACCAGTGATGATTCAATTGAATGCTATAGATAGCTAACCATTTTGACACCCAAAAAAATACTCGTAATAATATATGTATGTATATGTATCATACCTGGTCATTCTCCAACAACGCCCTCCAGTTTTGCATCTCAACAAGCGCCTTAGCAGACCGGTAAGAGAGGGCAATCCGATAATTCAGATCACCAAGCCAAATAATTCGACTAGAACAAATTGAAACGTAAAAGATTTTAGCAATAAAACATAGTTGGAGAATGGTAGTGCTGAAAGGCAGTGGTGTGCACTTGAACTAATGTTACTTCTAAAATTCTCAAAGGTACCTTAGGAGTTAGAAAATATAGATTTATTTAACATGTAATAAAATGGTTTAATTTCTTTTTGGTAGGCAACATAAATTAATCAATAATTAACGAGAAAGGGTCATACTCGTGTTCAAGGATTGTTTGTGGGGACTTCTCATTAGCGGTGCCATTTATCCGTGGAAACCTTGTCTTTTTAAGGATTTCCATGACATCACAGTTTCTTCGTAGTTCATCGCCCTCCTTCTGTCCCGAAGTCAAATGACTGCAGACAAAGCAAAAGCTTGTCTGATGCAATAACATGCTTACTGCAATGGATCCCTGTGAAACAAGCATAACATAGCATTACTTCTTTTGATTAACACATCATCTCCAACTTAAATATACAAAAAATAATTAAGATTCCCAAGATTCATTCAAAAGGATACCTTATTTCCAAGGTAACCCATCAATCCTCTGCCAACACAAGATACTTTCATGTTCCGAATATGTTCCCTCAAATCACTCCTAGTCCATATTGTGAGAAAAATGCCAACCATTTGTTTGCTTGCAACCAAGCTGTACCGTGAATGTCCTCGCATTCTGCATCCATCATCCATAGGCGCATATCCACCATTCCACATTGGTGAGAATGACGAGGTGCTAGGTGAATCAACAGGCGCGTAATCTTCATCAGATGAACCCCATCTCGAATAGTCACTTGGTCTGTGACCTCCTGAATAGTCACTAGGTCTGTAAACACCTGAATAGTCACTTGGTCTATGACTTCCTGAATAGTCACTTGGTCTATGAGCCCCTGAATAGTCACTTGGTCTGTGGCCCCCTGAATAGTCACTTGGCCTCTCACCCCCAGAATAATCACTGGGCCTGTGACTCCAGGAAGAGTCACTTGGCCGGTGACCCCATCTGTAACTGTGGTCAAAGTCACTTTGCCTATGACCAAAGAATACTCGGTCACAAACACTGAATCGCCTATCAAGGCGAGGCTGGTGGATTGATGGCCGGGGTGTCTGGAATGATCGGCGATGAAAGAAGGATGACGCCTTCTGCCTGGTTGATCCATCAAAATCTGCATCTACTTCCACCATAGGATCAGGGATGGGAGAAGGTGTATAGAACCCACCACCTCCACTTGTTCCAGGAAGATTGTTTAGTGATTTCCGAATTAGACCTAGCCATTTCTGGGCAGGGCCATTATCTTCAGCACCCAGAACATTGCCAGCATTCAGAGGAACTATTTCTTGAAATCTGAAAGAGTAAAATTTCACACACGCTTCTATTAGTTTCGAGTAAGCCCCAGAGTTTAGCAAGTGAAAGCAATGAGAATCAAATATAGCAATTCATACCCAAGAACATAAATGTCTGCAGGAGGTGAGGAATGTAGCAAATCATCCAGATTTAAGTTGCTTGGAGGGGATTTTCCGCCCACATTCCATGTAGCAACAAAAATACTGCTCCAAATGTAGTTAAAAACAATTAACACAGATGCACAACTAAAACAATAGTAAGATACACAACATATAACACGCAGAATATTTGTAGATAAGACCAACCTATGATTCTGCACATGTATCACTTGAGGGTGATCAAGATCAACTCTTCCTCTCCGGACACGATCCGTACTCTTGCTTATTTTTTCTGTGCAGCCAAGTGAAATAAAAAGATCAGGAACAATAAATCAATGAGTTGAAAAATTCAATAATAATAATAAAAAAAAACATTTGGATGGATTAGTGAGATGATTCTAAACCTGTTCTGCTTTTCTTAATTGTACATGGCTCTCTCTCTGAGAAGCTATTCCTCCATTCCACATCAGCACCTGAAAGAGAAAATCAGATGTTTATGCATGATGCATCAATTTCACATCTTAAAACAGGAAATAGAAACATAAAAAACTAAGAAATTCAGCGAATTTAAAGAAGAAACAAGTTGGGATAACAACAACTATATTACAAATTTATTCTAGAAAGAATAAATAAAGGACTTATTCCAAATATATGAAAATTGTTACCCCCTATTTTCAACAATTTTATCACAACCAAACTGAGGGTAAAGGAATCATATAGGCAAAAACATTAAAAAACTGAAGAAATCTAAATTGATTAAAGGAAACAAACACAAGAAGCAAAGAATCATGAGCTGAATTTCAGAGATCAGAAAGGTGAAGAAAACCCAAGAAGAAACAAATATACCGACCTCCATGAACAACTTCATCTGCCTGGAACTCTTCATTTTTGCCCTTGATGTTGAACCACTTCCTAATCACTGCTTTTGACCATGAGAGCTACAACAAAGAAAAAGAAAGCAAATAGTGAGCAAACCAGTAAACATGCAGTGAAAAAAAAAAAAAACATTTATCAACAAAAATTAATCATTATTTTCAGGAAACCGAGGGATAAGAGAACAAAAAACCTTGCTTTTCTTGGAATTCCCATCTCTCATTGTTTCACCACTTCTTCATACAAGCTCTCCTATTTTCTTCCACAATTTATGGGTTTTCCTCAGAATCAGCAAAAATATCAGAAATTCAAGGAAATGAACAAAATTTCCCAATTTCTGACTTCCGGAAACCTCATTTCTCAGCAAATTTTGCAGACCTTCATATGTTGTGAATGGCTCAGCACAAAGCAAAACGGACAAAACTACACATAAAAACTTCTTCACTTTCCTCTATATGCAAGAAATCTTCAATTTCTTAGACTCTAGTTACTGGGTATCACACTCAAAACAATTTCTAGTATTAAATGTGTCACTAATGTATATAAATAAGAAGAAGAGCATAGACCCAAAACCCAGTAAGATTAGAAACACAACGGGCCGAGGGAGAGACAACACTTTAAATATGGGAAGTGAGAGACTAGATTCTGAAGCTCAAGACCAAGACAATGCGGCAAACTTAAAAGAGAAAGTGTAGGGAGAGAGAGAGAGAGAGAGAGAGAGGAGAGAGAGGGACTTTCTCTTTCTTGAAACCAGCACAAGAGTTGTAAAGAGAGACATTCAACAGAAATAAATAGTCTCGGCTAAAAATTGAATTTGAACAGAATAAAGTGGTTTGGCGTGGTGTGGTGTGGTGTGGTGCATTGCAGGAGATCTCATTCTCTCTCTCGCGCATCCAAAACCAAAGGGCAAGGCCCAACATGAACGGGCATGTCGTTTTCATCTAAATTACAACATAAAACGACATGGATAAGCTGAAGAAAAACCTGCCCATGGGTCAGCAAAGTTCATCTAATAACACCCTTTATCTGCAAATTTCTTGCCATTTGGTCTTCCATCAAAGTTAAAGCAGATAAAAGAAGGAAAAAGAAGATAAAGGGAATGTGTATAGTAGTAAGTAGTAGTACTATATCTTATTTGTTTTATTTGTTGTTCTCTCTCTTTCTTTCTTTCTTTCTTTCTTTCCTCTCTTGTTTTTTATTTTTTATTTTTCTTGGGGAGTGTTCTGGTCTGTGAGGAATGTTTGCAGAAGGAATTGTCAATTACAGTATATGCGTCAAGAAAGGCATGCTTCCCCTACATGGGCTTTTTGGGTTTTTTTAATATTGTTGGGATTTCTACAGTTTTAAGGGGCTAAACATTTTTCCTTATATGTGTATATTCATATCGTTCTATCCCCAATATATCTAAACATTATGAACGTACTTGTATATCACTATATCTATTATCTATCAATGTATATATCTATTTGCAAGGAATGCCAAGAATGTTGTTCCGCAAATTTGAGCCTCTTTGACTCAATGTCTAATACGGCCACGATCAATTGCATGTGTATGGTACGATAAGTATATTGTAAGAGCAGAAGATGCATGCTCGATAATTAAATTATTTGTAAACAATGCTAGTTGTCTTAATTTAGTGTATACTTTTGAGAATTTGTTTATTTACAACGCTAAAGCTACCATATGCGGGGAAGAATCACGATCCTCTTCAGTGTATTGCACATTGTTGTAGGTGTGTTCAATACAAATTCTTCTCCGAATATGGTAGCTTTAGCATTCAGATGCTTGAGGAAGATGTAACTATGCATTGATAGAAAAGATATCATATGCATGAAGTATGAACTGCTTCCTCATTAGGTTTGTGCTCAATTGTTAGGGTAGGGGTCCTGTTTGGTGGCACAAAGGTCCTCTAACCCTAGCATTCCGAGCCCCGCCACCCGCGCACGCTCCTCAGATACACGAATCTATCCGACCACCGGCGGCTCCCTAGTTAAAGACCTCATTTTGAGGGGAAAAAAGCTCTTAGTATAAGCTTTTTTTGGCTTGCAATTTAATGTTTGACCAGTCAATACACATAAAACATGTAGGAGGCTGTTTATTATATTGGGTTCAAATTTTGATACTCATGATTAAAATTGGACCTTGGCAATTGATTAGCAGAGGATTAGTATATAGTTTTGAGAGTTGATTTAATTAAGCCGACGGCGGATGTCCCAAGTATTGGTCCCGCGGTGGGCATACATGAAATGGAATTCTTATCAAACTTCACATACCCACCACTAACCCAAGTGTAGCTTCCACTACCATATGAACCTGTTTGGGTCCCAAAATTGTGATCATTCAAGTCTTGTATAAAATCATTTTGGCTGCCCTCTTTGTCAAGCATTTAATATTTTCTTCCTAGAGTATTAATTTCATGGTGGGTACTTTAGCTGTCAAAATTCATGGCCCAATTGTTGAATAAAATGGTACATACGAGTATAGTTTTATTTCATTCCTTAGCTGAATGGTAGAATTTTCTATAACTAGGCCTTAATTATATCTATCTTGAAGAATTCAACTTTAGGTGGGCAACAATGATGCCCATACCTAAGTGAAATTACATTTGCATAGTTCTATGGGATTCGTACATGTTTGTGCTAAAAATAAAAAAATAAAAAATGGTATTACCATCTAAGAAGAAGGATTTTAATATATGAAATTTTACATCTGCATGTGTAGAGGTAGTTTTTTAATTTGAATCGTAACCTCCAGGTCACAATCATAGTTCATCGTATTGATCGATACACGATGTATCAGTCGATACCGACCACTTTTCAAGTCCAATATGCGATCCGTATTAACAAATTTATATTAATTTTGTCTGAATCGGTTACAACGCGACCGTAATCAATACTGCCAACCACAGTCACAACAGAGCAACATTATTGTTTCGCCAACGTCCACCTCCATTTTTTCAAAACGAAGATCGGGATGTTGGGCATCTTGTAATCAGCGACAAGCGGTTGAGGTCAACTGGTCAGGACTATTAGACTGCTTTCAAATAATGATTGTTGGATGAATTAAAGCAATACCACACATTGACTATTAATCTATATACATGTCATTTTATGTTATTTTGTATAAAGTAACTATCTCATACTTAATTTATTCATCTTTTCTAGAACAATTGAAAAAAATTCACCATTTTTTATGATTTAAATTAAAATTACTTCAGCTCAAAAAAAAATAAAAAACTCAAAAGTATAAACTCACTTTACATTAGAGCTATTACTTACATGCTTCACACTAATTCATTTTTTTTTTTTTAAATGAGTGGACTTCCATTTTGTTCAAATCAAGGTTGTCAATAGGCATAAAATCAAATACATTAAAGTGGTACATGATTAAGTGCTTTCCCTTTTTGTAGAAATTCAAATACAATAAGCTCTTGTTTTTGTTTTTGGTACATCTAATATGTGTGTCTTGGGAATCAACTGAGGCAATAAGTAGAAAAAAAGTAAATATTAAATAATGCAAAGAAATTTGTAAAGTGATGAGTTGTATCAAAAACTAAAGTGCCAAGGGCCACCTATATAGGGCAAATGGATATCTAAAGGGCCTAAAGAAATGGCCCTACACTAGGAATTTTTTCTTTTCCTCTTTCCCTCCACTTTGACAACCCTGATAGTTGATGAAACATTTTTCATGAAAATGGTATATAAGGGAAATCAATCTTCTTTGATTCAATGAGATCATGATGAAAAGGTGGTGTTTGGGCTCATTTTCTACATCCTCATTGTAAGGAGGAAAAGGAATGAAATTTGGTTTGGAATGTTTTTTCTTTATTAATAATGTTGCTTGGATGTATCTACATAAATCTTATTTAAAATTGCACAAAACAAAATAATGAAGTCATCAACAATAAAAGTGCATATCTAATAGGATAACAATAGCAACACAACATGTAAACAATACTAGTATATAAAAGTCATTTTTGTTGTATATGTGAGTATGAAATTCGTGTTTGAATTTTTTAAATGAATTTTATATTTTTAGAGGATTTAAATTCCTGTAAAGATAAAGCAAGTATACGAGTGTGTTTTTAATGAATGATTCTCCGAATTTAATTCGGTGGTAATCTTAACACTAAATTGATTAATTATTATAACATTTCAGTGTAATTAAGTAAAAAATTAACCAGCCTTATTGTTTGATGAATATGACAAAATTTGTATAAAGTAATTAGTTATTTTTGTTCAAAAACAAAAATGAAGAGTTGCATTGGAACAACTAACAAACAATGGACCCCTATTGTTTGAAAGACTATGACAAACATCCAATTTTTCACCCTTTTCTTGATAAACCATTATATATATCTTGAAATGGTATGTATCCTCAGAGGACAAAATGTTAATGGATTCAACAAAAACATAATGACTTTATGATTCTCAATATCGTTGACAAAGAAAAGATTATTTAGTTCAAACCACTTGTATATATTACATCACACTGGTATAGCATCTCAATTTTTTTTTTTTTTTTTTTTTTCATGGCAAGAGTGTTATATGACTGCAATTTTCACTCTTGTTTATATGATTTTATTATTTATTTTGTCATTTGTTGTAAACTTGTATCCTTATATTGTATGAGCTCTCCTCTCCTTCTGGAGAGATCGGGTGCTCTAAAAAATAAAAATAAATAAATAAAAATACCTCCATCTAATAATACTTTTCAAAATAAGCCAAAAGAACTTTTCAAATCAATTACACAATTACTAAAGTTAGGTGCATATTTACATGAAGAAAAAAAAAAAAAAAAAAAAAAAAAAAAAAAAACCCGAAATATAGGTGCATATATTCAATAATGTATTTACACAACTAAGGATGTGGGTGGCTGTATCTCCATTTATGGTACTATTATATTGATTGATGTACCACTTCATTATGAATAATCATCCCATGGAAGTGGAAACAACCTTCCTACTCTTCTGGGTTGGGTAGCCTTTATAGCAATGACCTATTTTTTTGCTGAACTTTCAACTCAATGTCCAGGATTTAACTCCAGTTGTGTCATGCCTAAAATTAAACAAATATTAAAAAAATGTGGTAATTCAACATCATTTTTGGTTGAATTTTAAAAAAATTAATTGAGAAAGACTAATTGTAATAAAAATTAAAGAGGAGCAGAACATTAAATTAGATTATTAAAAATGACTTTATGAAGTTAAATATAATAAGTGAAATGACATGTAATAGAAAAGAAAGAGATTTCATGACCCATTCAAATAAAATTTAGACAATAATCGTGATGATGACCATGGCATTAGTTATACACTTTACAATTTAAACTTAATTATTGAATTTACTAATGAATGTTTAAAAGTAGAAGTGATTTTAAACCATTTTGAAATGGACATCAAATTTGAATCTCATCATTTATACTTTGGCTTAAGAAAAAAAAAATTTAATTATGAGTATATGAAAAAAGAAGGTGAATTCTCCTCTTTAATTACCTATAACCAATCATTGTTTAATCAAGCAGATGATTGAGAATCTGTTATTAGATATATAAAGTATGTATGAATTAGCATATCTCCTAAATGAGGTAGTCAAAAAAAGAGAGCACATAAAAAGCATAAGCATTCTAAGAAGATTTAGTTCACTTTTTTTATTTATTTCCCAAATTACCCTCGTTGCTGAATCTAAGGCAGAAATCAAAGTAAAAATTAGGAGGGAGGCAGTCAAAGGGTGGCAAACAAAGCATCTATGTGTGATTTTCCTTGAGATTCCTTTTATCTGCTT